TGTGTTCCAGAGACATGGAATTGGAGAAACCAAATCCCAGCAGAGGCTTCAGCTCCTATCATCAGGCACCATCACAGTATAAACTCAGTGGTATTAAAAGACAGAGCGCATATAAAGCATCTCTGTAAAGACCTGTCCCTGCTCTCTGAACGTTTTGAAACAGCAGGGCTGTACATGTGATGTATAGACAGCTACTGCAGACAGCACAGCTTTACAATTTCAGGGTTGAAGATGAGTTCACCTTCCCACAAATCTCTTTCAGAGACTACCAAGATGCAAAAGAATGCTGCAAAGTCTATTGACAGGACTGGTGATGCATCTCACTGTATTTTTACCTCAGCTAGATAGACTCAATTCCATTAGAAGATTGTCTTAATGCTTATCAGAGGGTGGTCATGTACAAAGAAGTAAATGGATCAGACAAGGTAACATTAGTATGAAAAACATGGGTGGGTTTTTTTATCTCTAGCTTGAAAAAACTTGCCTCTTCATCTTACAGTCACTGTGATTTATTTGTGCATCACCTTCAGCCTGAATTATTATGTCGCTCAGAGTCTGAAGGGGGAAAAAAGGCTCCAGCTCCACCATAACGAAGGCTGGTGAAATTTAACCTCTCCAGTGGCTCTACAAAGCCCCACTGAAGAAGCCAACCCTTACTACCAGCAGCTCAGAACTTGGCTATAATAACCACAGTAGCTTAGTTTATAGCTCACCAGACAATCTGTATTCTTGAGATGTGAGGGACAAAGTCACAAAGACTTTCCTTTGTAGGGCCTTAGCTGCTGCGTGTCTGGAAGTCATCTCAGCTGTACGAAGACGACTGTCCACTGCCATCTGAAAATGATGGTAGGGAACAAAGAGGAAAAACGAACAAAACACCTCCTGCATACACACTCCTGGCAAATCCTTTTACCAGAGACAGAAGAAGAGCAAAGTTAACTAAATCTCGTGGCTTTTCTCTGGGCAGCTGAAGGACATCCCTCACGTGCAGAGTTAAAATAACCATCCTACTCCTTACCCACAGCATGGTGCTCTGCAAGCTTGCAGGTTCTCTCACTGTTTTGAGAGCCACAAAAGTATGGTCCAGAGATGATGGGTCAACGGGTTTGTGGTTGCCAACTGGAGGGCTCTGCTCAGTGCCAGCTGGGAAAATGCAACGAAACTGACAGCTACCTGCAAAGGCAGGCAGTGTGCGTGGGACTACTCATGTTAGGCCTTCCCATTTGTATTTGTTTGCAGTTAAAGTTCTGCTTCTTAAGAGCTGGTGTTGTAGTGTGTGATACAAGAGCTGGCCTGCAGGAGATGGGTGGAGGGATTTTTGCTGGGTTTTTGGTCCAGATGAACACCTGAGGAAGAAAAGCCAGCTGGAGTGACTAAGGAGGCTTTGTTAAAGACAAAAACCCCAAGTTTGTACCTGGAATCTAGAAAGCAAAGGCCCTTTCAGGAGGGGAGGGAGGGAGGATACACTTCCAGTATTTCCAACTGTCAGTAATGCTGGATTGGAGGCATGGCTGGGTACTCATTCTCCATGGCACAAGGGAAGCAACTGGTCTGGCTGCAGATAGAGAAAATTAGAGGAAGGAGGTGTGTGTGCTGCAAAAGGGCTGTACTTGATGTAAGAGACAACAGCTACATGTTAACAGCAGTGTTAAGAACTGGCTGAAGTGTCAGGAACTTTTACAGGTTCCTGTCTTGGGTCTCCCTCCAAACACCCCTGGATCATGAGATAAAGAGGCCTACCTGTCAACATAAGGGGGTCTTCCAGTTGTCCTGTCTCACTAGAAAGGCATGGCAGACCTGCACGGATACAAACTGGGAAGAAGTGGGGGCTTTATGGTATGGTAATGGGCATCCTGAAGATGCAGGATATGCATCCAAAAATCAACTGCTCAGAATGTTTCAACAGCAGGATGAAGAAGTCCGAAGGCCTGCCTGGATGTATTACACCAGAATTGTGTAAGAAAGGCCCAAACCCTCCAGCTAACATGACAAAGATGTTGCTCCTGCAGTATTTCCTGTCTATCCTAAGTACAGGTCTTCAGATACACATGTATGAACGGGTCAAAATTTCTGAAGACACATACATACTTGGCTAAATAATCTTTTGCATGCAGGTAGTCAACGTAAACTGCCTCTGGACAAAATCATCTTGGTGCAACATTACTGAGATGAAATTAAGGAAATTTAAGGTTCTGCAAGGGATGAGACATTGTCACAGATACAGCATCTCTCTGATGTGTTCTGATCACAACTTTAAAATTAATTCCTTCAAGCAGTCTAGCAGACTTCCTACAGAGTTAATGCCTCTTCAACTTGCAGCTCAACTGTTTAAGGAACAGCCAATGAAGTCACGCTCTCAGGAAAATATTTCCAAGGCACATGCTCATAGAAAATACTTCAAGTTCATGTACAATTATGAATATTCAGGAAAAGAATGAAGAATCTTGTGGTAGATGTGAAGATTTGAAGAGTGGCCTAAAGGCTACATCTCTATTAATAACCTCATCAGGGCCAGGGTATGGATCCACAGTAGTGAATTGTCAGCATGCTCCCTTGGCACTGCCCTAGCCTGTATCAACCAGGGGACGCCTAGGGACAGTCTGGGCATTTACAGACAGGGAAAAATGTCTCCAGTTTCGGTGTCTTGCACACCTCGGGACACTGACACCACACACTCTGGTCATAACCATAGCTGGGTGGCTCATGTCAGCCACTTTGAACTGGCTTCTAATGGCTCAGAGGAGACACAGCTGCAAGCAGGGAGAGGCTTATTGTGGAAAATAAAAGCGGTTGTTTCCCCTTGACTTAGTTGCCTTCAATGAAAATTTTTAAAACCATAGTAGCAAACAACTGTTGGCATGATATGGACAGTGGTAGAGGTTGCAAAATGACAGCAAAAAGGCAATACTCTCAAGGCTCTGTAGAGGCTGTAAGAGGAAGGGCCAGAAGGTTGCATTTCATACAGCTCAGGAAGGCATACTGTACAGAACCAGAGCTGGAGAAAGCTTACAGAACCCAAGAGCTGACAGTCTCCCAGATTTTTAGACAAGCTGTTCTAAATACAGTTCAGAAAATTATTTAAGGAGTCCATCTGTAGAGAGGCAAACATCAAACAAAACTTTGCAGAAATCGGAACAGCCAAATATGCACCAGGAAGCAGCAGAATGACTCTGGCCCAGATGTCCACGAGCTCCAGACAAAGCAGCGGGCACGTGTGATGGTTCCTGTCCTGATGAGTCAAACGTACCACTCAATTGATCGCTGCAGTTCCCAAGCTCCAGGGAAAAACGAAGTATTTTCTTACTAGTGATTACCTCATCCGATTATGCACAAGCAGCACTATGGCTCTGGGGACTGCAAAGCAGTTGGTTAAATTCAGTGAAAAGTAGGAACCATCAGAGAGAATTTGTTACACCTCACTAAGTCTCCTTTTCTTCTGGAAAAACTATGTATCAATTTATAAAAATTAAAGGCACCTGAATGACTCCCTGTCATTCTCAGATGTCAGGCTGGAGGAGGGAGAATGACCCCGGCCACTACAAAAACTAAACACTGTGCAGACAGAACCAGACAGTGGGACAGATGATTCCCTCGTCTTTTATTTACAAACCAGAAAGTCCTATAGCGGTTTAAGAAATATTTGCCATTGAGTTGTGGAATGTGGAAAGAAAGGGAATTTTGGCACAAGGAGAATGTTAAAGACCTAATAAGCTCTCCTGGTACCAATAAATGCTTGTACAGAAAACCAGAGAAAACTGATACGAGAGTTAGGGAAGCAGAAATCTAATTCTGTGGTTGCTAAATAGCTTGTGTCCTATAACAGAACTGGATGGGTAAAGGGTACAAGATGTGTTAGTCCACAAGATCTTACCCAAGGTTTGTTAGATATCAGCAGTTTTCTCTAAAAGAGAGAGCTTTTAGCACTTCTCCAGGGGTTACCCAATCTCAGCTGTGTCTTTTGGCCTGCAGGGACTGTAATCCCAGAGCTGCAATCAAACTGCAGTCCAGACTGCTTTTTATATAAAGTAAGGAACTAGTTGGAAGTGGAACTTCTGGATGTAGTCTTTGTACACTGGGGGGAAAAATGTGCATTAGGACTCTCCTTGCATGAGAAAACAGAAACTGGTAATCTGAAGTGTGCAATTATGACAAGGAAAATAAAGCACTTTAATAGTTCTCTATCATCCGGAGCTTCTGCACGATGACCAAGTTGACAAAATCAATGTTAGGTACAGTTACAAACGTTTTCACAAGAAAGAGACTCCTTTCAGAGGGAAGGCAAAAAAAATAATTCAAACTCCATCCAAACTCCTGGGCTAGAAATGAATGCTTTAGTCTAGCGGTTCTAGCTATGAAAAGTTCCCTGAAATTAAATGAGGGTTAATAAGATTTCTTGCTAGTGACTCAAGTTTCACTTGTGATAAGGGTCCTAAAGAATTTTAAGGTGGAAATTTGGTGCACCTCCTGTCAGATTTCAGGAAGGAAGGGGGGAGTGCATGAAAAGGAAGAAGCTTTTTAAAATACAAGGAATCTTTAAGTGAAATGTAGATGATCTGAAGACCCTAGACAATCCTTTCACAAGATGAAACTCCACCTCCACACACCATTACAGCTGATTCTGTGGCACAGATACCACAGCAAGCTTGCAAATGGCAAGACTGGTTTTCAGGGAAATGTCTTTGAACATTCAAAGCTATACAACTAGCACAGCTGAGCTGGAAAGCAGATCATAGGGAAAACGAAGCACAGGAGGGAGGTGTGGTGAAGAAGGCAACAGCAACATCAGCAGTCAAAAGCAGCTGACACAAGGAGATTACTATGGACAAAAGCGGGCAAGGTCACATTGAAATGCTTGGCAAAATTTAACTCCAGGTCACTGTCAGTCTCCTAGCAAAATTTAAATTACCCAGCCTGTTCTCAGTTCTTAAGGCAGAGCAAGAGGTGGAAAAAATGGTAGCTGAGCCAAAATGTTCTCTCTGGCTTCTATCCAGACCGATTTGTCAACAGCCAAATGGAAAACCTGAGGCGTATGTGCTTCCTAACAAGTTCCCTGCACACAAGAACGTATACGTTCAACATCACATTCCACTGCCACAGCTACAGAAGACCCAGTACACACCTGTGCACATAGCTACGGAACTGGGAAAGACTCATTCTCTGCTTCTTCCGTGTATAAATAATGCTGCTTCCCAGACATAAAATGCAGAGCAGCACTACCTGAGAAACGTTCCAGTTACACATGCTAGCTGAGACACCGGGTTTTGTCTCTAATTATTTTGCAATTTTGAATGTACTAGTAATATGGTCATTTGCTCAAATAAAGTCATTTGCAGAGGTACTCTGACCCTGCACATTGTCTCCAGAAGAGTTTGTAAAGATAGCTGGCATTCAGAGCCACCTGGGATGCATCTAAATTTAACAACAAAAAGATCTTGCTCTCTGAAACCATCTCAAAACCATCTTTATAGGTCAGAAATAATCCCTCAGCACAGGGGTGAATTTCCAGAAAGCTGGCAGAAATCAAACTGGCACCTGGCCTGAACACTGAAAAGAACAGAAGAGAGGAGAGTATCTGTTCAGGGGAAACCAAGCGATGCTACCCATCACACAGCGTGAGCTCTGGAAACATCTCAGATTTGTCATAGCTGGGAAGAACACTCAAAATACAGGTCCAGGTCATCCTCTGCTAGCAAAGCAGTCAGAGGTGTCCCTGTATGAGGCTTGTAAGGATCCCTGCTAGAACCTCATCACGCTGCTCCACTGACACTGAAGGGGCAGGACTGCCCTTCTGCAGAGTCACGCCAAGCCTCACAGGCCTCCACAGCAGTTCACACAACCGAGCACATAAGTTCTTGTAAGCAGAAGGCCCCTACCTAAACATTCTCCAGTGAAAAAAGTGAAGCGCTGCAGCTGAAGCAGCACTTACCTGCGCTTGTGGATCCAATTCCTGCTGTGAGCACAGAGCGTGGCATGATCTTTACTGCGTACTTCAGAAACTGAGATTTCCCCGTACCTGGGTCTCCAACCAACAAAAGATGTGATTCACCTTGGGGAAAAATGTTGATGTAGGAGTAGATGGTTCATATACAGAGAAAGATATATACAATATGCTCTGAATTAAATAGTACTCATTATTCGCTAACGTTTAATACTACACATACATTACAATATGTAATTCTGTTTAAGACTGCACAATTTATTGGGTATGATAAATAAATTGTTTTATAAGAGCACCCAGACATATTGCTGCACCCAAACCAAATATTTACAATAAAATATTTTAAGAGTATTAGCCTGTATTTGACATACTTCCCGTAATGTGAGTTCTTATATTTCAGAATACTCACTTCTCAGACTCAACTCACTCTTGAACATGAAACAGGAGTATACCAGGGTTTAGCCATCATTCCACTATTCAGTTACTTAAATTATTGTGAAAAGAACTATTAAACTCAGCAGGTTGTTTTTCTTAACTAATTGTGTTACATAGCCAACAGTTCCACAATTTAGTGATATCAGAACAATGCAATTACAGAAGTAAATAATTTGCCTACAACAATCTCACTGAAGTGCTCTAAAGTTACTTTGTTGTCTTCTACTAAATATTAATACAATTTCAATTCAAACATAAAGTCTATAACCTTATTCAGCTGCTGGAGCATTAAGAAAATCCTGTATTTGTACATACAGCCATACTATTTTAGAATTATTATGACCTACATAGATTACGACCTGTGTACCACTTGGCACATGGCATATTTGCCATCTAATAACAACAGAAGGAGAGTCAGCAGGCAGATAACTTACAGTAACAGAAGTAAGTGAGATGTGCTGACAATCACAGATGGAAAAGTCTGGCATTAGGAAGTAAAATGAATCCTTTAATTTTTCCTTTCACCGTACTGTAGTGATCCACATTAAGGAAACATTAATATTCCATCCTTTGATGCCAAATACTGCTGGGAATATGCTACTAGAAAGCATTTCAAAACATCGCTTATACAATAAAAAGTAAGTTTATGTTTAATTTAAACCAACAGCCTTTAATATTCTACCTAATGAATCCTGAATGCCTGCTCTTACTGGGTTTTACTTGGGAAAAAAGAAAATAAAAATAGGAAGTCTAGACACCCACTTTATTTGTCTGAGATTCTGGAAGAATACTCAGCATTAATCAAAAATTGCTCTCACTCACGAGAATGGGATGATTATGCTTCTGAAACCTTACTGGTTTGATTTTGACAGGGAGGGATGTGGGTGAAGACATGGTCAGGAACAACTCTGAGAAAGGAAGGGATACTATTAGAAACAATACTCACCTCTGATTCGAGTGCCAGTAGCATCAGTCCTCTGTACACCACCAGCAAGCACCATGGCTACTGCCAACTTCACCAGGTACAATCCAAACACTTGAGGACATAAGCTGGCCAAAATTTCATTCCTCCCTAGAACAGGAGCAAAAAATGGCACTCAGTCTTATCAGTAAGACTTGGTTTCCCATGGAGTCCCATGTACATTTTAAGTCCTGTGTACACTGAGAAATAACTGTCCTATGTCCACAGTCCTATGTACACTCACACATCATTTGAGTCTGCTTCCTGAACCAGAGGAATAAGACAAGGAAGAACTAGTATTATTATCATTATCATTATCATTATCAGGATGATGATGATGATGATTATTATTATTATTATTTTATTTTGAAAATAGGACCCAAAGCGGTTGTTTGATCCAAGTATTTTTCATTATAAAGAAGTTAAGTCTTCCATGGTCATAAGCAGCAAAGCCAATCCAATTGCAATTTAAGGAATGCATGGCCTGGATACCATGAGAAAAGGCACTAATGAAATGCCATCGTGCAAATTCTTTTGTTTCACAGATAAAAGTGCAGGGCCTATGAAGAATAAAACTTTAAAGTTTCCAAACTAAAATATTCTCTTGATAACTGGTGTGTTGTACATTCAAGAAAACAAAGAAAACATCTAACCCTTTGAAGTACTTTGCCCTAAACCTGTGTACCCATAGCATGACTCATTTTCTCAGTCTTGTCTTGAATCTCCTCTTTTGACCCTTCTGTGTCAAAGGTCCCCGTCCTCCTCCCTACCACAGTCTCTCTCCAGCAACTGAATATTTCAATCTGGCAAAATAATGTTGTTGACCTGGAAGGTGCATAACAGAATTACTTGTCTCCTTTTTGATTCTGACATAAAGGATCACAGGTTTAATGCCATACGTTTGCAATGCCATTGCTAGGGAATAAAACAGTGACCAGTTTTGAGTTCTTAACTTCATGTTTTAAATTTAGATGCAAGTACGTGGTACTGGCAAAATATGCAGACATGTAACAGATGGCTTGAGGCATGCGTGTTTCTTGTGGAGGTCTTCTGAGGGAATTAACACATCTTTGTCCGAATAACACATCTTTGTCCAAAAAGGTAATTTTAAAAACTTTGGTCAGCCACAACATAACTCAAGATTTAACTCCACAGTTGCCTCTACTTGACTTCTGGTTCATTTGCCTTGTCTGTGCTGAGCAGGCTCAGCACTTCTGCTGCTTCTGGACAGTATCCAGAAAAAATCAACTCACCTGCATAAGTTGTTTGAGAGGCTTGCCATGGTGGACTTTCTCAGGACACCCAGTACCCAGCATTGGGAATTGACTGACATAAAATGCAGTAGTAATTACCATTATCTCTTGAAAAACAGTAAATATACATATGTCCTGTTGTGAAATGGCCTATACTTTAGACTCCTTAGTCAAATTTCATCTCTGTCCCAACCTGAGAGGGCTCAAATTCAGACAAATGACCTGAAACAGGTATCTTGGACAGTCACGGACCTTCTAACTTCTTTTTTGTAGCCACTTCATATTACTTATTCTGAATGGATTAATTTTGCATAAAACCACATTGCTTCCTGCAGGCTTCCAAAAATTGTCCTGAGAATGAAAGAATAAATGAGACCTTCAAAGAGGATGGTGAATTCCTTTCTGAACAGCTCTAACCAGGGTGATAAGAAACATTCTTGTTCCAAACAGCAGGAGGGCAGCAATTAAACTGCTTTCCAGGAAAGGCACCTCTGAAGAATCTTTGCCACTGACAAGATCTCAGATTTCTTATATGAGCACTCTAATTTTTAAGCTGACATGGGCAACGCTCCCACATGCTTTTCCTCCTATTTTGTCTTCTAAGAGAACGACTAAGCCCTTTTCAGGGTTTTAAAAGACAGTGTTAGCATGAGACAGTTCAGTGACAGATCTTGAAGAGTCCACTGAGCTCCTCCACGGTCCGGGAGGAGGGTCTCAGGTTATGGACAGGGACAGAGCTCCAGACAACTCCTGCCAGTTCCTATGTGTTTGACCGCAGACCACGGTAAGTTTAGGAGACAGAGTACCAAACGTTCTGGCAGTTCTGGAGGCCACTGTGAATTGGGAGTCTCTCTCCACAGCACCTAAATCAAAGGTGTAGGCATCCACGAGTTAGGGTAAAGACGAGATGTGCTAAGCTCTGTGGTGAAGATTCACAGCTCAATTTGGGATGCAGAGACAGTGAGTCAGATCTCTCGCCCCAGAGTCAACAGCTATGCTGACTCAAAGCAGATCTGGTCCACACTGTTTCTTCTAAGAAGTATGCTGTTTCTGTCTCGATTATGAAACGCTTTTCTTTTTTTCCCTGATGCTTACATTATTTCTCATTTCTTGTTGATAAATGTTTCACGAAACACTTGACTAGAAAGAGCAAAATAAGGAAATGTACTGGAAAAAAGTACATTATTGGAGGAACAGGTGGTGGGATAGGATAATGGGGGAAAAAATGTGTTCAGTCACTGTATTTTCACTCCTGATTTCATCTATATCTGATCACATGTTCTACTTAAAAGCTTTCAACTACTAACCTGCTAAGGGATCATTCCTATGCATTTCCCAAAAGTCTTCAAATTCCTTGCGGACTTCTTCATCGATTACAACCCCTGCTAGCTGCTCATTGTTTACTTTAATGTAGTTGGCTTTCAAAACAAGCTCCAAGTCACAGCGTGCATCCTCACGGAAAGGTTTCCACCTCTGCATTACCACTCCATACACCGTGATGTCATCTCCTGGAGGTAAAAACAAAAATTAGGAAAATAACATCTGACTCGAGATATGCAGATATGTCAGTAGGCTGCAATGCATAACAGTGCGACTGACATCCTGTGTCACAGTTAATAAGGTTGAAAAAACCCAACGACAAGAAGCAAACCCCCTGCAGTTACTGGAAGTCTAAAACACACATTAGGTAGATTGCTTATGTCTTTCTACTTCTGTTTAAGGTAGGTGAGTTCTTAAAGCTGTACCTCTGCTTGTTTCCTCTTTTAGAAAGGAGAAATTCACAGTAAACTGTAGAAGCTCTATTATAGATTTACTATACAAAAAAATCAGTCAAAACTTGTTTGACTTCTGATAACTTTTGTGATGAATCCCAGAATTTGTCATTAACATTCTGGCCAGTGTGTTCTTCTGAGAAAGTACAACCAGAAATGAGTTTCTTGTGGGGATGTGCCTATCTGAGAATTTTTAGTCCATTCTTCACACATCCTCCTGCCAATTCGCTTTCTTTTTGAACACCAAGTAGCTTTTTTCACCCACAGCACTCCTTAGATAGGAGGTCAGGTCACCAAGCTCTCCGAACCTTGAGGGGTACCACGTGCAGCGTGACAGTATGTACCCATTTCCTCACAAGGTTTGGTGTTCCCACACTAACAAGATTTAAATTATTTCTGGACGTCACAACACATGCGTGACATTTTCTGGAATACTCTTCAACTGCTATGCTAACATCCAAGCCGAAACAGCAACATGACAGATAAACATATCCCATTCAACAAGCCCTCAGGACTGACAGTCCACTTGGCCAAGATTCACCTCACAAGGAAAATTAAAAATGCCTGTGGTACAAACACATGCAATGTTTGCAGCATCCTCACCAGACTTGCAGCTGTCCACCAAGTCATCTTCCAGAACAACCACCATGCAACGAGGGATGCTCCCAACAGACAGCCTTTGCACCTAGGAGATGGGAAGGAAAAGCATTTAAGGACTGCACCTTTCAAATGCCATTTACAGCTGCTCTGGCTTAAGGACCTACCTTCCTTTCCTGGAACTGAGGTCAGGCCTTGCTTTTTCCTCACAAAACTTAAACAGTAAATATGCCACTGCTGCCATGAACTTAATAATGCAACTTTAATGCTTATACTAATGGAAATGGGATTGGGTATTAAATTAGCTGAAGGTGCTCAATCCTGGGAGGTGCTGTGTGATTTCAAAACCTTCCTGAAGAAAGCTCACTAAAAGAGGTCATTGGAAAGAGATGCTTTTTTTTAATAACTTGAGATATTTTTAGATATTTCTTCAATATGCAATATTTACTTCGGGTGCTGAAGCACATCCATGGGTTACATAACCCTTCACTGAAGTTTAGAGATTATTCTCTATACATGTTTTATAATATGCATATATATATATATATATATATGTAAGTTTACACCTAGGTGTCGAGGATTAAATCAACAACAGGAAAAAACAAATCGCACACAACCAGACAAACGTATATTGACAAATGTGTCAGTACTCCTGTAATTCTCCTTCTCTTCTCCAGGGCAGAGTCTATGCAATCTTGTCACAGTCTATTTCTGACCAGCAAACCATTTATGCTTAAAACTTGCAATAGTTTTTAGAATATCCCCTGCACAAGAACAACAATCAGAAGTACTTTCTCAACCTGTAGCACAGTTCAAATTCCTAGATTTATTCACTCTCTAGTGCCTAGGAAGGCTAATTCATCCTTGGGTATTACCTAAATGGCCACAGGCAGTTCACATCACTGTCAGTACTGGTGGCACACACACAGTTACTTGCAGAAACACGAGTGAAATTCATTCTCGGTTTCACATTACTGTGTTTAATAAGCACACGCCACTGAAAATCCTCCCTATTGTAGCGATCTGTGTGTCACACAGTAAAACAAAATAAATGTTACAGAAACCATATGTGAGAAATAACCATAATATATAAATAGGCAGCATAGGCTTAATAGGCTTAATTCCTATAAATAGTTTATTCCTTTACTTTCTAGCTATTCTGAACTTTAAAAAACTTAATTTCTAATTTCATACTCTTCTGTTTTCATACATTGTGCACATAGATTAGCGTCACTATACTCATAATTTATAAAATCAAGCCCCTGAAACAACTGAGGAGATCCTGGAAAAGATTTCTGAAAAAGACACTGAACGTATAAATAAACACAGAAGCACTGCCTGCAATACACCTTACTTATTCTCAGTTTTCATGCAGTGTAGATTTTCTTGTGCCAGTTTGGTCTTAGATATGCGCTAACATAAAAAGAGGCCAAATTATTTCTTACACCTCCAGCTTAGCTGTACTTCCACCCAGGGCTACCTTCAGAAAAAGGAGCACATGTTCAGTAACTGTTGAATTCAGTATTGGCGGAAGGGAACAGACATTTGAGACATCATGTATTGACCACGCTGCACCACTGCAGCTGGCCTTGGCTACCACTGGGCTAGCTTTAGTCCTTACAGAAACAACACAAACGGTGTTGCAAGGATTCAGCATGGAAATTTAACCTGCACACTGGCCTCAAGTGTTCTGTACAGTCTGGAATGGAGTTACCTCATAACGGAAGTCCAATCAACAACTTAATTCTGACATAAACATGAACAGGTTCACTAAAATTAAATTATTCCAGCAGGAAATTAAGCCCCCAGATGCCTTCTTTAGTAAGTGAATTCTTTTTGTACTTGAGACATCTATACCTTAATACCCTCCCCTTTTTCTCCATCTTATTTTCTTTTACCTGTTCCTGAATTTTGATTTCCTGGTAGTCTCTGCAGCAGGCAGGAGACGAGGTTGTGCCAGAGAGACAGGTGAACTTGGTTGAGCTGCAGCCTTCTTCGTTACGACAGGCCGACGGACGACAGAAGGCATAGTACTGCTCGAAGTCCGCCTTGACGACAAACACATGCTTGCACTTGTTGCAGATGTAACTCCGTTCAAACTCCAAAACTTTCACCAGACTGGTACGTATGACGGTCCCCATAACAGACAAGAAGTGGCCCACATCCCTGGTTTTAGGAATTTGCTCTCGAGTCAGCTCTGGGCAGACAGGCAAACCTGTTGAACAAAACACGTGCAGCATAAGGCTACGCCTATCAAACGTGGACTCACAATGCAGTTAAACAGAAAGACCAGAAAAAATGTCAGACACACTAACAGTTGCCATTGTTACTACGTTTTCCTAAATGTGCTTCAACAACGCTGCTGTACCGCAAATCTGATTCACTGCCTCAGACAGTGAAAACCATCAGAGCTGAGCACTAACAGAAAATGTTCCCATTTCACTCTCCTGCTCTTGCTAAGGGCTGAGCAGTCATGAGCAGTTTCCATTTGTGGAAATAGCTCCCAACATTCTCAAATCTGTTTATTAATTCAAATTATCTTTTGGCAAATGCCATTTATTCTGCATCTGGGTTATTACAAAATTTCGGTTATGCTACTTAACTGTGGTTCAATGTTATTCCCACAGTTAAACAAGCGTAACTCCTAATCTTGTGTGAATTCTCAAGTCTAAGTAAATTTAAAATTCAGAGTCTGCGAGCATTTCACCTTAAATCCGCATTGCATACCAGTAACCTGAAGCACAAGAAAGATGGCACAAAAAGAATATAAAGGTGTTATGAACACAACCAAAGCAAATTCACTTGCGTATTCGAATTCATAGTGATGGGACATTTTTGTGGCACCCAACAGCCAAATCTGTGGTGTACCGATCCCGCTCCCACATGCGCCCGTGTGGCCACCACTGAGCACCACGGCAGCTGAAATCCTCAGGAAGATGAATTGACCTCCACAGCCTACAAAGTCTCCATGGAAATAAATGGTCTCTGAAATGCACACCTGAGGACAGCATCAAAACACTGCCTCTTCAGAAGACAGTACATGAACTGCACGATACTAGTAATTATCAACTTAAAAAGAAATTACCTGCTCTTGAAATAATTTCTTAGCTTTACTTCCAAAATACAGCTCGGAAACAGAGACATAAAATAATAAATCTGCTAGAAAACTATGTTTCTAAAGGGATTAAAACTATTTGTCCATTTGGGTCAAATCTTCTTAGTAGCTTTGGTTGCTAAAGAAAAAGGACATCACATATTTATTTCAGTGTTTTGAAAACCAAATGCTTTGTTTCAGACATACTGAAACATTCTAGTTCGATGCTTTTAAGCAAAGTATTTGACCTTCTGCTTTTGTTTAATGAAAATATTTTTCCGTATTACGCTCATTTTAAAAGGTAAAAGAATCATGTAAAAAAAATTAAAGGGAAGGAATTAAATAAACTGGAAAAGAAATAGAAGTATTATATAGAGCTGCAAACAAATTTTTCTGGTTGACTGTAACAAAGCTATTGATATAGTCTACCAAAGCTGCTGAAAATCCTTTTTCTTCCACAGGTTTGCATTTTATTCAGTTCAGGAAAAAAAAATCCATTCTTTTTCTGTTTTGGCATATTTTTTCCCAGCTCAGTACTGCTGCAGCTCAACAACCTTCACAAAATACAACACATCTTACACTAGAGAGAGCTGCAGTGCTGTTGTCGGGATCTTTATGATAATGTCTGTGAATACTGAAGAGACAAGAGTCTGGGTGGGGAAAAAGGAGCCTTCATTCTGATCATATCAGACTGCTCGACAAACCCTGAGTATGTGCCTCTTTGAATCAGCTTTAATGTATTAGTAATAACGTGTAAAACCAAACTATCACCAGCAGCTTGTCCATCAGTAACAGCCACAGTGGTGCTCAGGCCAACGCTAAGTAAGGAAAAATCTTTTAATGGATTTGGAGCAAAAGGAGAAGTTTTACAAATTCCAACAATGCTAAAATTGAGATAAAGAACTTCATCTTTTCCTTTCTTCAGTGAAGTCTGGGTAATCATCCATCATTAATCACTTCATACTCACACTCCCAGAGCCTCTCTTTGAACTCCCAGATGCTCTGTCCATACCAGTATGATCATGCTGAGTTTGCATTCTTATACCTAGCATAAGCAAACCCACTTCTCCTCACTTCAGTCCGAGTCTGACACACAGATTCCCTCAGCCCCACTCCAAGTATCTGCCTGTCGCTCCCGCCAAAAAGAGGATACCACCTTCTCCTCGTTCCCGTTTGATGTGGGAATGGGAAGCAGCACTCAAAGACAAGAATCCTGAAGGTGATCAGAACCCAGCATCCACTTAAAAAGTAACAGTATCATGGGAAAATTTGAGTGGAAAAAAGCCCGCCGATCATTTAGCTGATTGCTTTTGTTTATCCAGTAGCCAGCCTTTTGGTGGTACAGCACATACACCAAGCTACATGGACAGATGTTCTTTGGATCCAGCTGGACCACAGGATAACCACCTCCTGCTCTTCATCTATTTCCCTCCTGCTTAGCGATGGAGTGATTTGGAGTCTGCTGACTAACCTCTTCCATCAGTGATCAGTCAGACCTGCTTTTATCAGTTAGTAAAGCTGTTTGATCAAACATGACTAATTTTGCCTGAGGTTGATTAGGGAATATTCAGACATCACTGTGGGAGGAACGGTCAGCTCCAGCTGATACAGGAGCTGATACAGGAACAGGAAAGTCTTCAAGACACTGCTGCTCGTGCTGCGATCACCCGCCCCTTGCTTCACTCCTTCTAATACTTCCTTCTAGCTTAAAGAATAATCATAGTTGGGGCAAAAATAACTCTGTTTTCATGCTGAAGCCCTAAATGATGCAAATGCATCCTAGAAGGCTAGGGGGAAAGTTTTAATTCAAGGCTGCTTTTATAGGTACAGAGAGATGCCCGATATTTCAAACTTTAGTACCACACAGAGGCCATCCTTTTACACCACAGGCTCAGCAGTTGTATACAAGCTCTGTAACACCTAAATGGGTAGCAAGCCCTTGTTTTTTTCCCTAGAAACCCTGAGAAAATAGTGTTATGAGAACCTCAGGCTAATTTTATTTCTGATGTATGTGTTCTAATGACAGTATTTTGAACAAAATTTACAGGGGCAAAACACTGGTCTATTTAAAAACTGCAATTCATCCAAGTTCAAGCTGCCAAAAGACTGAATGATCATAAACCACCCGAACACGGGGCGAGGGAGGGAAACACGGGCCACCAGCTCACGGTGTTGCAGACACAACAGCTCCAAATAGTTACAATCAGAAATGATCAAAGGGTCTGTGCCACCGCTGACACCAGTTCCCCACAACAGGCAGAACTTGTACTTCACACCTTGAAGCTACTAAAAATTTCCTAGTAATAAGGAATAATGGCATATCAACTTGTAGTGAAAAAAGGACAAAATCCTCTATTAATGAGCATGCCTTCCAACAGTTCACTCCAATTTCATAACAAGTAATTTCACAACAATTAGTTAAGCATAAACTTTGACAGTTTCAGACGAAATTGCTGCAACACAACTCAAAATTTAGACTTTGCGTCTTCCAGGAGATGGATGGAGACCATAAAAACGATGAGTCAACTGACATGGTAAGGAAGCCAACCTGCAAAAAATCTGTGAACTACGTATCTTCTCCTAATTCAGTTTTTTTTTCCAGCTGCTGATCTGAGAAGTCTCTTTCCCACAGAAAGGCTTTGGTGCAAGTCCAGACCCAGCAACAAATGCCAGCCATTGCATGCACGCCATCAGGGATCATAAGATCATAGAATCATAAAATTATAGGATGATTTGGGTTGAAAGGGACATTAAAGATCATCCAGTCCAACCCCCCTGCCATGGGCAGGGACACCTCCCACCAGACCAGGTTGCCCAAAGCCCTGTCCAACCTGGCCGTGAACACTTCCAGGGAGGGGGCATCCACAACTTCCCTGGGCAACCTGTGCCAGTGTCTCACCGCCCTCACAGTAAAGAATTTCTTCCTAATATCTAATCTAAATCTACCCTCTTCCAGTTTAAAGCCATTAATGGATGGCTATAGCTTTTTTACTGGGCTGATCTACACAACTCCATGTGTTCCCATGGGTTCTTTTCTCTTTACTAAACACCAGCCATTCCGTACTACTTCAAACGCTAAAACTGCAAGAATTAAACTCACTCCTTCCCTTGATCCCCAACAGTGTTATAGAATAAGGGAATTTGGCAGTGCTGACCAGGAGGTGTCCCCCAGGGCCCCTCGCTGCCACCCCTGTCCCACCACTCACCGCAGACCCTGGCGTGGAGGTTCTGCTTCAGGCTGAGCTGTGACGAGGCAGTGGCGGCCTGCAGGGCTGCCAGGGCGGCCCGGCGCAGGGCGCTGTCGAAAATGGTCAGGACTTCACCAGGGTAGGCGTTGAAGTACTCCCCGATCTCCATGTTGGTCTCGAAGAGTGTCAGGGCATCGATGACGACGGGGTAGTGCGCCTCGCCATCGGCTTCCCTCAGGATGCCCAGGAGGTCGTGGTGGTGGTGCTCCAGCACATAGGACTCGAAC